GGAAGACTCCTCCCACCCCCAACGAGATGGACTGGCCTAGTGGTAGCATCAATGGACTCAAAGCATAACAATGATTATGAGATAGGCACAGGACCGCACAGTGTTTCATTCTGCTGTGCATAAGGTCACTGTGAGTTGGTACCAACTTGGCAGCACCAAACTGCGAGAAGAAATAAACTGAGTTTTGAAGCTGTAACCAGTTGGAACACAGACCACCTTGTGTTTGCTTCCCTTCTACCCTTCCTTTGTCCTCACAACAGCCTTCAATGAAGCACTAGCAGGTAACTCAGGTTATTCTTTCTAGAGAGCCCTTACATTTTGTTAAAACAAACAAAAGTTAAATTGGTGGAATTCTACAATGAAGGCAAGAGTCTGAGAGGAACTTTAGGGGCATCAGCATGATTTAATAGCCATAATACATCAAGGGCAGCAGATCTGGACTCTGGGCTTACCATAAAGATGGATTTACACGTATTGGGGAACAGGATCAAGCATGATTATGGAATTCCACCTCCAGGGGTACATGTTCTGTTCAACCGTGAGACAACAAAACTAAGCAACTGAACAGGGATGTTGTTCATGGACGTATGTTCATATGCTCTCGAAATTATAGAAATATTTAGCATGAGGGTATCATCTGAGGGATGAAATTATTCCATTCATCAAGACTTGATAACAACAAGTGGCAATAAGAAATAATCCTCCAGCAGTGAAAATGAGGAGAATTTGAATGAGTTTCTGTATCCACTGGAGACTCTTGCTAAAACTTCAAAGGTTTGGGGTTTTGTTTTTTGTTTTTAAGAAGTTAGTTTCATGTATGTATACATGGTTTTTAATTCTCACCACAACTCAGAGGGGCAGGCATTATTTTCACACTCATCTTACAGATCAGGAATGGGAGTTTTAGTGAGGTTAAGGAGTTTATTCAAAGTTACAAAGATTCAGGACTCAAAACAAGTCTGTGCTCTTTTGCTCAAAATCCCAGTTATGCCTTTGAAGGCAACAAAGGAGGAGGAAGAAAACATCATCAGAAATTTGAACTAGCTTTGGCTGGTTAGTGGCTTGAATTCAGACACAATATCAAGACAAAAGGAAAATGGAGGAAAATAGCACCTCTTTCAGTTGTGCCAAGTAAGGTAATCTGTGTTTGGATCAAAGACCTATAATTTATGTAGATTCACACACATCTTCCAGGTACTGCATAAATTGGGGAGTGTGTGGAGTGTTGTGGAACTAAATGTATTTGTATGTGTTCAACACACTGTGTAATTGACTCCATTACCCGTGTGGGGATTATTCACTTTTAATTTGCAATCTGGCTTCTCCTTTCAGTTAGGATGTTTTGGGGCTGCTCTAGGAATGCCAACTAATTTAAATAATAATTTAAGTAAAACATAATTAGGAAGGAAAATTAAATTCAGTCTTTTGCCAACTTCTGAAGATACTGCTGCTGAAACCTAACAGTAACTCTAATCCATCCATTATTTTATCATTCCCCAGTGCCTTTTTACTACCACAGGATTGTATCTCTTTCCATAGGTTATTGCAATATGTTCCTATCTAACTTTCCTGCTTGCCTCTTTGCAATCCAATCAGCATTCTGCTGACAGTAATTTTCCCCAAACCAGCCCTCATCACACAATTTCTTTGCTTGAAAAGTAGTTATGGTTTCTCACTTCTCACCAGATTAAATGTCCACTAGCCAGGGTTTCTTCTCTCCTATTTCCTAACTGTTCTACAAACTCCAAGGAGCCCTAGTGGTGCTGTGGGTTGGGTATTGGGCTGCTAGCCACAAGATCTCTAACTCAAACCTACGAGTTGTTCTGCAGGAGAAAGATGAGACCATCTGCTTCCATAAACCATTACTACGGAGCAGGTCTACTCTGTCCTATATAGGGTCACTATGAGTCAAAAGCAACTGGATAGCAGTGGGTTTGTTTTGTTTCCAAACTTCATTCCCTCTTCCTCTCTGTAGGCCCACTGTACTTACCACCTGTTCTGTGGAGGTTTTTGTGATCCTACCTCCACAATGCCCATTACTTTTCCCACTGAATTTCTTTACTGCACTATGTGTTTTTCTCTAAGGTCAACCAAAGTATCTATGAACCACTTGTTTCTCCTACAAGATACCTTATTGATAGTCTCTGTGACTATTCCTCTCCCTTCCTATGTAGTGCCTAGGTTGGCGCTGGTCCCAAAGTGAAACACAACAAATGCTTGTCTATTCAAAGTGCTGGCAAATTCCCAAGGGTAGGGATTTTGTTTGTTTGTATTCCCAGCACCTACTCCACTGACAAACTTGTCTGTCAGTTTGTCATCATTTTGATGGCTTGTGTGTTGCTGTGATTCTGGAAGCAATGCCACCAGAATTTCAAATACTAGCAGGGTCACCCATGGCAGACATGTTTCAGTGGAATTTCTAGATCAAAACAAACTAGGAAGAAGGAGAGGCAGATCACTTCTGAAAAATTAGCCACTGAAAAATCATATACTTTGGGCATTATCAGGAAGGACCAGTCCCTATAGAAGGACATTATGCTTGGTAAAGTAAAGGGGTTATCAAAAAAAGGACAAAGTAGCTGAAACAATGGGCTCAAATATAGGAACAATTGTGAGTTTTGACGACCAGACAGTGTTTCATTCTGTTGTACATAGGGTTGCTATGATTTGGAACCAACTCAATTGCACCTAGCAACAACAACAATAGATCTTAGTGAATGAGTAAGAGTACATGCTACAACCCCCTGTGGAGCTCATCAGAAAGAGGAGCTCACTGCACAGTACTCAGAATGGAGCTGGCAGCACTACCTCCCCTGTTGGACAATGAAGGGCAACCTGGGCAGCCTTTCCACAGCCCACATCTTTGCAGGGGGCTGGTGTGTGGCGAGGAGGCATTTTCTTAAGCTTCCTGTATTTTCTATGAAAGGAGTCTCGGTCTCTGGTGGTGTCCAACAGTTAATGTTGAAAACCCTGTGGAGTACAGTTCTATTTTGACACACAAGAGGCACCATGAGTTGAAATTCACTCCGCAGTAATTGCTTATTAAAATTATTTTAAAAATGTACATATACGTACATATACTGTTGTTGTTCTTAAGCACCCTTGAGTTGATTCTGACTCATAGTGACCCTGACGGGGTTTCCAAGGTTGTAAATCTTTGCAGAAGCAGAAGCCTCATCTTTCTCTTTCAAAGCTGCTGGTGGGCTCCAATTGCTGACCTTGTGGTTCACGGTCCAGTGCTTATCTTACAGAGCCACTGTGCTCCCAGGTACATATATACTCACATATATGAGGACTAGTCAAAAATGATCTATACCCTGATTGTAGAATTTATTTCAATCAAATTTTAGAAATGACAAATACATCACTTTTTGACATAATCTACTTGCTCTGTCCTTCTGTTAACAAGCTTTTGTATTCCCTTATTAAAAGAAATATTTTTGTTGCAAGCCATAAATGTACCACTGTCTTTACTTCTTTATCAGAAGTCAATCTTCGTTCTTGAAGGGCTGATTTCAGGAGACCAAGCAAGTGAAAGTCAGTGGAGCAAGATCAGGACTGTGAGGATGCTTTAACAGTGTGTCAACAGTGTGGGCAGAGGTGTGTGGACATGCATCGTCATGCAAGATCACAAAGCCCTTGGATAGCAGTCCTGGGTGCTTAATCCCAAGTTAAGGCTTCAGTTCTTCAGTGAGCATCTCACTGTAATGAGCACTGTTGATTGTTGAGCCTTCTTCCTGATAGTGTTCCAATACAGGCACTTGAGAATCCCAGAAAACCGTAAGCATCAATTTTCCAGCTGATGGTTGACTTTTGAACTTTTTCTTGGTTAGAGATTGAGGGTGTTTCCATTCCGTACTCTGCTGTTTACTCTCAGGCTCCTAGTGACAAAGCCACGCCTCATCACCAGTAACAATTTTTTAAAAGGAATTTTCACCCTTCATCAAGTATCGGTCCAAATTTTGTTGGCAGACATCCAAACACTTCTGCTAACCCACTGGTTGTTTCGGTACCCATCTCACACAAACTCTTTGAAACCCAAGTCTGTCATGAACTGTCTCATAGGCAGAGCCATAGTTTATTTGCAAATGACTTGGCACATAATCCAGTGTTACTTGTCTATTCCACAGAATCATTTCACATGAAAGCTCAAAGTTGTCATCAGTCATAGGTGTGGACAGGAGTTTTAATATAACTGGTGTGCGGGTTATTTTGACTCACCCTTGTTTAAATGCATAAACATATAAAAATGTTTTCTCATAAACACATCCATTTATGTATATAGGAACTGGACTGCTAACTGTAGGTTAGTGGTTCAAACCCACTAGCTGTTATTCAAAAACCCAGGGCACATAACAACAACAACAAGAAGCCCTGGTTACACAATAAGGAGGTCTGTTAGCACTGTGGGTCAGCCATTGGGTTGCTAACCGCAAGGTCAGTGGTTCAAACCCACCAGTTGCTCCAAAGGAGTAAAATGAGGTTTTCTGCTCCAGTAAAGATTAAATCTCAGACACCTTATGGAGCAGTTCTACTTTGTCCTAAAGGTTCTCTATGAATGGGAATCACACAATGGTTAACCACTTGGCTGTTCACCGAAAGTAATCCATCTAATTGTGTCTGCTGGAGAAAGACCTGGCCATCAGTTATCATGAAGATTGCAGACAGAAAACCCTATGGGGCAGTTCTACTCTGTCACGTGGAGTCACTATAAGTCAGTATAGAGTTGACAACGCGTAACAAAGACAACATTTAGTTACAGCTAGTTAGAATTACAAAGCCTTTAATGAGACGCTGTTAGAGTGGCGAGGGAGCAAAAAAGAGACTTCCCCTCATCAGTCCCAGACCGAAGAACAGAATTCAAAACGTCAGGGCCGCAGGAGCCTTAGAGCCAAGCGACTGCGCTGCGGATTGAGCCTTCCGGCTTCCCGTCCGCCGAGACTGCCATTGGCTGGGCTCAGCGCAGCTGACAAGCAGCGGCGGACTAGTTAGCTAAGAGGATGGCGGCGTCCGGGTCGTTGATCCTGCGGGAGACGCCCAGGTAGTTCGCTTGCCAGCGCCGACACGTGCGGTAGCGCTTGCGGATGGCGCGGACGGGGCAGGCACACAGATGCCCCTACCGTCTGGCGTTGGGCGCCGAGCTGACCGAGGTTGTGGGCGGCGTGGGCGCTGGTTGCGAACGCGCAGCGCGTGCCCGACAGCCCCGGGAGGAGGCTGTGGGAGCCTCTGCCTCTCAGCTGCTAGCCTCCCGGGGCGGGCCTCCGGGGGCGGGGGGGCTTTCACTGCGCCTGGCAGATGAGGTCCGTATAGGCGAGCAGAATTACCCAGACGCTACGTTGGTAACGTTGACTTAATTGGGAAGACACGTTCCATTTCGTTTACAGTTTTCTTTCATACCTTCTGATTTTGAGAAACAGCTCACACGGGTGCCAGAGGGTCTTGAATATGTAGCACGTCCTAATGTCCACTAATGTCCACTTTAAGTCAAGTCAAAATAGGCCCAGGCCAGGAGTTTTCAGCTACTAGGTAACTTTAATAGCGAAGTAGTTATGAATCGGGCTACGAACCTCAAGGTCAGCAGTTCGAAACTACCAGCTGTTCTGCGGGAGAAAGATGAGGTTTTCTGCTCTGGTAAAGATTTATGACCTCGGAAACCCTGTACAGGGTCACTATGAGTCAGAACCGACTCCACGGCACATAACCACTACCACCAGTAATATGTTGTTGTAAAGTGCCGTCGAGTCGGTTCCGACCCATAGCGACCCTGTACAGGGTTTCCGAGGCTGTAAATCTTTACGGAAGCAGAAAGCCTCATCTTTCTCCCGCGGAACAACTGGTAGTTTCGAACTGCTGACTTTGAGGTTCCCCATTCGTAACCACTATGCTACCAGAGCTCCTTACCAGTAATATGTAGCTAGAATCATTTTCTCCTTGTGTTAGGTAGTGTTTGCTATCCATGGTGGTTATGAAAAGTTCCCTTTAAAAGAAAAATAAGTAAAAATGAATTCAGTGAGAAGTACCTTTTTCCTTTAACTCAATTCCAACTCATTGGGACGATATAGGACAAAGTTGTTGTTGTAAGTACTGTGGGGTTGGTTCCGACTCACTTTCCAAGGCTGTAAAGCTTTACTGGAGTAGAACGCCTCATCTTTTTCCCGCAGAGCTGCTCGTAGTTTCGAACTGCTAACCTTGAGGTTGGCAGCCTGACTTGTAACCACTATGCTACCAGGGCTCCTTATAGGGCAGAGTAGACCTTCCCCTAAGGGTTTCTAAATTGGAAATTGGTCTGCAAATTGGCACATCTTTTCCTGCAGATGCGTAACTACTGCGCCACCAGAACGCCTTCCTATTGAAAAGTAAATAATTGAACTAGTGGGCTAGGCGTTGGGCTGCTAATCACAGGGCCCTGGGTTCAAGCCTAGTAGCTCTGCAGGAAAAAGCTGAGGCTGTGCTTTCCCGTAAGACAACCTTTGGAGTCTCCATGAGTCAGAATCAACTAAATGGCAGTAGGATTTTTTTTTCTGGATAGGGGATGGGGGGGGCGGGGGCAGATAACTAAATTGAGAAATAATCTCTTTGTGTCTGGCTGGGGCAGGAAACTTCCAGAACAGAGCTGTCATTTTAAAGTTTTTCCTTCTTCTTCAAGGAAACTCCTTGAGTTCTGTCTGATGGCCCAGCACCACACACTGTAGCTGTAAACCATATCCAATTTGGTGCATGGCAGTTTTTCTAAACACATCATTTAAAACTTGGTGCCATAGGATGAGTACTTGACCTCAAGGTCGGTTTGAACTAAAAGGTGGGTGGTTCAAACGCACCATCCACGCTTCAGAAACCCTATAAGGGGTCTCAGTGAGTAGGAACCAACTCCATAACAATTGAAGCAGAAGCAGAACTTAAAAACAAATAATTTTATATGTACTTTTTAAAAATTTAAATTCCATTGTGGCTCTGTATAATAAGCAAGGCTCTCTTTGCCCACAAAGATTTACAACCTCAGAAACCCAATACTGGGTCACTATAAACTGATTTGATGGCATTTAACAACAACAGCATTCTTTCTCTCTATGTTTTTAGTGTAATTGTCCTCATTACCACTCCTATCCTCCCATGCCTTTTAGAATTCCATTTTGGATTACGTGGATACCTAATAACTCTCTGGTCAATTAATACCATTGCTTCCAAAAGTGCAAGATTTCCTTAGTGATTTGCTGTGCCCAAAAGAAAGAGAAAGGTTGCCAAATTAACCTTGTCAACAGAAGTAGCTTATGGGGACATCTTTTCTGGCAATGTTTAAGATTGCCCAGCCTCCTTTGCTGTCAGAGTTGTTGGAATAAAAACTTGATAGACAATGATAGCAAGTATAGTTCAACTTGAAAAACTCATTTTAAAACTTTGTTTTATGAATTTATTTAGCATGAAAAAAGCAGTATTGCTGATAAATGCAGTAGATATAGGAAGATTTCCACGGTTGCTCACTCGAATTCTTCAAAAACTTCACCTGAAGGTTTGTATTTCTGTATTTGTAATTTGTATTTTTGCATTGCCAGTAATGCTTCTGATTCCACTGAAACTGCATTTCTACTTAGGGAACTTTGTGTGACGTGTAGTGCTCCTCTTTGTGTTCTCTGGAATGAATGTTTGTCTGTGGAATATTTGATAATGTCCCAGCATCAAGAGTATGGGAAACTGTCTGAAATAAAATTAGCAAGTATTTATTTTTTAATGAAAGATTTCAGAGTATTTAATATGCTGGTATTTGTAGTGAATATGTAACAGTGAATATAGTGTATGTACAACATTTTCCAAATGTATTTGACCCAAGCTGTTTTCTCATGGAAAGTACATTTTTAGACTAATGTCCCGTGGAACGTGCACTGGGAAAATTCTGACTTCATGATTTTATTCTTCCTCTTAAAAAATAGTTCTATGGAATTTCTTATTTGTCAGTATTTTACTCTTTCACTTAATTTTGTTTCTTTTCCACCTTCATTTCAAAGCTGTTTGGTAATTCACTGATCATCCACTCAAATTAATTTTTTCAGATTATATAAATTTAATTTGATCTGATACATGTTTACAGAGCATTCACTAAGTAGTACTCTGCATGGTGCTGGGCATCACCTTCTAATAAGAGCCAGGCTCTTACTCTTTCCTTTCCTTTTTCCTGGCTAGGAGTCAGTTTCAGAGCGCTGCCATTTCTCTCTCTCTGGAGTATCTTTTATTTAAATCCATGTCTACTTACAGTCCTAGTTCAGATCCTCGTTATCTCTCTCTTGGACTATAGTTGTTGTTGTTGTTAAGTGCCATCGAGTTGGGTCCGACCCATAGCGACCTTGTACAGGGTTTCCGAGGGTGTAAATCTTTACGGGAGTAGAAAGCCTCATCTTTCTCCTTTAGTCATCTCTCTTGTTGCTTCTGTATAGTGCTATTCTGATTATCTTCTGAAATACTTTTTTCATAAAGAAAGAATTGATCATATGAGCTCTATGGTGTTGAGAAGCCATAGAGAAAAGTTTATACTGCTGAATATTGTATTTGTTGTTGTGTGCTGTCTAGTCATTTTCGACTTTTAGTAGTAACTTATGTGACAGAGTAGAACCATATAGGTTGTAATCTGTTTTGGAAGATGTGCATCTAGGATGCTCCTTAGAAATGAGGATGGTGAAACTTTGTCTCAGATACTTGGAACATGTTCTCAGGAGGACCAGTCTCTGGAGGAAAAACACCATGCTTGGTAAAGGAGAGGGTCAGCAAAAAAGAGGAAGACATTGAGGTGAATTGTCACAGTGGATGTAAAATTGGACTGTTGTTGAAGTTGCTGTTTTTTGCTATTGAGGAGCGGTGGTGTTGCTAGATGGTGTCGAGTCAGTTATTACTCCTAGGGTCCCTATATAATGTTCCCAAGGAGACGCTGGTGAATTTGAACTGCTATCCTTGTGGGTAGCAGTCCAGTGCTTTTCCAACAGTGCCATACAAAGTAAGGTGGCAGCAGGGAAAGTTGTTTTAGTATGTGTGAACAGCATATTTATTTTTTTAAAATTATTTAAACAGTATTCATACTTGATAAATCAGTATCTTTACATTTAGAAGATTCTTCTGGAGGTGAAAGAAAGAACCAGAGATTATACTCAGATGATGTCTTTCTCTCGAATATAGTTTATGGAAGTAATATATTTGCACGTAATTTGTAAATTTTAGAAAATACTAATATAAGCTGATATATTGAATCATAAAAATGATGTTTCCTGCTCTTGTAACAACTTATATTCATATAAATGGAAATTACTTTAATAATTATTTATGTTTCTGATTAGACTGTACGATACTTGAGGACATGAACTATCTGTATATAATAGACAATAAGTAGTTTTGAATGAATGAAGATAGAAATTACTGTTTATAACTTAGCCTTTTGGAGTTTTGCCTTCTAGTAAGTTTTGTAACTGAGTTTATTGTTTTCTACTTATTAAATGATGTGGTGCTGTAGGGTAAGCATTGGACTGCTACTGCAGGGTCAGCAGTTAAAATCCACCATCTGCTTCTTGGGAATCCTGTATAGTCGCAAATGACTTGACAGCATTTAACAACAATGTAAATCATAAAATGTAGCATTGTTATTTAAAATGACTTGTATTTTCAAATCTCAGAAATTGAACTGTGCTTTGATTTTGAGATAACGAAACTAACAAATTCATCAATTTCTTCTTTTTCCATGGATTCACTTTTGCTTTCAAATTCTCATTTCACATATGAATAAATTAATCTTTTGCTGAGCAACTGAATTTTGAATACCTGACTATATACTAATCGACACTGTTTGTATTTATAGGCTGAAAGCAGTTTCAGTGAAGAAGAGGAAGAAAAACTTCAAGTTGCATTTACTCTAGAGAAACAAGACCTTCATTTAGTTCTTGAAACAATATCATTCATTTTAGAGCAGGTGTGTTTATGCCTCCAATTTCCTAACTGTAGCTTGTTTACTACATATTTGTATTACTGTGTTATCTATTACATTCCGCTTTTCAGAAAAGAGTGCAAGATGGAAGCTTTGCATATATATACATGTGGAGTCCTGGTATGGTGCTGTAGGATAAAGCAAGGTCGGTTTGAACTGCAAGGTCGGTAGTTCAGATTCACTAGTTAGTCTTGAATTGGAACCAACTTGACAACACTTAACAGCAACATATGTGTATATGTATGTGTGTGTATATATATGTTGCTGTTAAGTACATATAAGGAGTCCTGGTGTGGCGCTGTGGGTTAATGCGCTGGACAGCAAAGTCAGTTTGAACTGAAAAGGAATGGTGTTACGTTCATCATCAAAAAGAACATATCTAGATCAGTCATGAGGTTCAACACTGTATGTGATAGGATAATATCCATGCACCTTCAAAGAAGCCCAGTTAATACCACTATTATTCAAATTTATGCACAAACCACTAAAGCCAGTGAGGATGAAGTAAAAGAAATGTACCAACTTCTTCAATCTGAAATTGTTCAAACATGCAATCAAGATGTATTGATCATAACTGGTGATTGGAATACAAAGGTTGGGAAGAAAGAGGAAGGACCAGTAGTTGGAAAATATGACCTAGGTGATAGAAATGATACTGGAGAACGCATGATAGAATTCTGCAAAACCAATGACTTGTTCATTTCAAATACCTTCTTTAGACAGCATAACAGAGGACTATACACATGGACCTCGCAAGATGAAATACATAGAAATCACATTGACTACATCAGTGGAAAGAGACAGTGGAAAACTCCATATCATCAGTGAAAACTAGGCCAGGGACAGACTGTGGAACAGACCATCAATTATTGATATGCAAAGTCAAACTGAAGCTGAAGAAAATGAAAACAAGTTCACGAGAGCCAAAATATGACCTTGAATATATCCCACCTGAATTTAGAGATCATCTGAAGAACAGATTTGATA